TCCATCCATTCATCCATCCATTCATCCATCCATTCATTCAATTCAATATTCTCTCACCAGGGATACACATGATGTTCCTTGCTACCGTCTTGCTCTGCAAACAAGAGAACAACATATCAGAAGAGATAAGGCCACAAGCAACATTTGCACAGCACAAGCATTGTTAGCAAACATGTCTGCAATGTATGCTGTCTACCATGGACCCAAAGGCTTGAAGAACATAGCATTGAGAGTACATAATGCAACTTTACTCCTTGCCGAAGGTGAGGAAGTAATAATTAATAATAATTTTGAAACTTGGTCAGCTTCCATTTATTCATGGGAATAGAGGAGTTTCCTGGGGGGGGAGGTTGTAATAGCAGAAGGTTCATTAACTTTCTATCATATGTCTCAAAAAATGGACCATGTAAATACCATGTCATGCACACATAAAACAAGTACAGCACAATAACAGCAACAACAAAAAAAGATTACTGACAATAGAATATCAATATGTCACAATACAATGACCTTTATTTAAAAAATGTCAATGTTCTTGGCTAAAAGCTGCTTTACAGACATGCCACAGAATAGTTAACATAATAAAAATTTTGTAGGTGGTGATTTGTAAAGTTTTCCTTTTTGTAAATGTGTGTATAGGGATCAAGCAGGCTGGCCACCAAGTCAATGAAATGCATCCTTATTTTGATACACTCAAGGTATGAATCTAACAGAAAATAGCATAGGATTGTAATACTAAGACACCATATAGCTACTAGTATCATAGAGAAGCAGCAAGGGTGGTTATGTGTGTAAGTCCAACAAATCTAATAAATCTAATGCATTTACAACTCCATGGTTGACGGCGTAATGCCTAACAGATTTGGCAACCCAATTGTTTAGGCAGCCAATAGATCGAATTAGAATTTTAAAGTTGATTTTTGTGAAGGGAGTAAAACACGAAGAACCTGGAGAAAAACCCTCAAAGCACAGGAGAGTTTAACCAACAAACAACTCTACTCATATACAACATTGAGCCTGACAGGGTTCAAACCCAGATTGCATTGGTTAGAGGTATGCAAGCTTAACTCGACGCTACCTGTGCTTCCTTGATTTCATTCCATGAGAGATTAAAAATTACAATTAATACAGGTTGTGTCAGCCACTGGTGATATCTCAGAAATACAGAAAAGAGCAGCAGAGAAGAAGATAAACTTGAGAAAAATTGATGAACAAACAGTAAGTTTGAAACTCTATGAGTAGAGGGCTTTCGTTTTTACATGAGTTTGAATTTTTTGGTACTGATTTGCAGCAATTTCATGATACTGCATGCCGTGGCATTGAAATAAGCCACCATTTGCTGTCAGCCAGTCATAAGAAAAAATTCTGAAAATGTGCAATTCAACTGATGGACATTCTGTACGAGACAGGATTACATCAAGTGAAACCCAGTAATAGCTAGTGTTTAGGATTTGTGTATTGCTGGTTTTCAAACATTCCCAAGAGAATGAAATAACATTTAAGACAAGGGCGGCCATGTTGGATGATATAACCAAAGAGAATAATGAAGAATCTTTTGTTAAATTTAGCCAACATGGCGGCTGTGAAAACCATAATTATTGTTTGCAACCAGGTTGGATTGTCCCTTGATGAAACAGTCAAGGAACAAGACTTGAATGACCTACTTTGGATATTTGGGTGCAAGTCAAATGCTGTAGAAATCAGTGGCAACCTCTCTGAAGTACCCCAGAACAGTCTTCTTCATACTCCCTTTAAACGACTGAGCAGCTATCTAACACACCCTGTGTTTAACAGTCATCACTCAGAGACGAATATCGTTAGGTACATGAAGCAGCTAGAGAATAAAGATCTTTCTTTGGTTCACTCCATGATATCCTTGGTAAGTATTATTCAACATGAAAATTTATATATAACTGGTGCTCTGATTGGTCAAAAAACATGCTCATGTCGTTTTTTCCATGCATGCACTCCTAATTTGAACTTTCATAGGAAAAATAAAACAGGATTTTGAATTAAACGTAGCAGAAATATTTTAATAAATATTTTTTTTAAATTTTTACTCAACACAGGGATCCTGCACCATGAAGTTGAACAGCACCACTGAAATGATGCCAATAACTTGGCCTAGGTTTGCCGATATCCACCCCTTCGCACCAGTAGAACAAGCCGTAGGATACTTAAAACTTTACCAGGAACTTGAACAAGATTTTTGCGAGATTACAGGATTTGATGCAGCATGCTTCCAGCCAAATAGGTGAGACTCTTTACAACAGAACAAATTATTATGAGCAGCATTTGCTCTGCGGCTTATGACCATGCAAGGATTCTTGCTCATGTTACTATGCCATTAATTTCTAATTTAGCTTTCTTTGAGAATTTTTATCAAACATTAAAACAACCAGAGCTCCAGATGAAATTTTTTGATTATTTGAAATATGGTATTTACCTGCAATAGACTGTTTTCTCAAGGTTGTGTGCGCATCCAACTTGACGGGCCACAAAACTGTAAAACCTAAATTCAGTAAAATTGAGAAGACAGTTTTATATTTAAAGAGGAGAATAATCAATTTAATTCTTATCAAAAAAATTTCTTAGCAATGCATGATAATACTCGTGCTCTGGTATTGTCAAGTTCCTTAGATTTGGATGCGCATGCAACCTTGAGAAAACAGTCTGTATAGTTTTCACCAAATTCTTATTGACTGTAATTTACTGTTCTTGCCTCAGTGGAGCACAAGGTGAATACACAGGACTACGAGCTATAAGAGCGTACCTTGAGCATATTGGACAAGAAAAAAGAAAGGTGAATAGTGTCCTAATAGTTATAGTAGTTTCATGTGTTAAACCGAGAGAGAGAAATCCTGCAAGTGAGAGCCATTCCCTTAAGATTTTTTTGTGGGGAAATGAAGCTGAAATCAGATTTTTATAAACTTGGCATAAACATACATACTCCAACATAATCTTGTTCAACTGGTCACTGATTAGGATTCGTTTTTTTTTTTTTTTTTTTTTTTTTNTTGAGAAAACGGTCTATTGCTTGCCACATTTAGATCCCGTGTATACTGACTAACTGGGGGGGGGGGGGGGGGGAACTGGATATGGCCTTCAAAGTGGAATAGATAAATCATAAAGTTTTGGTCTAATTGGATAGACAGATAAACCGGCCTTCGTTAATACATCATACCTCAATTAGAATGATATTGAAAAAGACGTTGATAGCAATAAAAGCGCATGTCCAAGTGGTTTTAAATAGGATAAACACTAATCGTTTATTAAACACTACATAATATGATGACTAATGAGACCGTATTGTCACCTTACACAATTTAGAGATGAGAAATTACGTAAATCGTATGTACTGTTAATCTGTTGAACTCTGCCATGCACGGAATCGGTTCTTGTCAACCCACTTGCTTTGCTGTCTTAGCTTGCACGAAGTTCAAAAATAGTGTTCAAAGCCAAAAGGTCTATTTCGGACTGTCTTCATGGATTTTATCTGAAACTCGTTTAGACTAAACAATTAGTCGTGTTCTTAATAAGATATATATAAGTGTATTTTTTAAACCTTAATGAGAAAACGTCTTTTTCTACCATCCAAATCATCTATCAAAAGAGTTTTTTTTTTTTTTTTTTTTTTTTTTTTTTTGAAATTTATTTTTTTTTTTTTTTTTTTTTTTTGCTAAATGCTGTGAAATTATGTTATTGATCAATGGAAAAACACACTATAGAGTAGACTGAGGGATCAAAGAAACGCTTTGAAAAAAATCAAGAACATCAATGGAATGGAGAAAACAAATTCATGGCCATCAAATATGAGTTTTGCTTTAACATTTTAAAATTAAAAGCATGCATTTATTGCATTAGTCTTATTTTGAGACTCTTAATTGAAATTCTTTGAGACTCCTTCATACTTTATGTAATGTCTTGCTCATGAGCATTATTGATAAAGGAATAATACTCAAAGGAAGTGATGCATGGTCTAAATTGGAAAGTGGTGATTCAGTCTATCTTTTTTTTCCAACATCTATCGTCTATTATAATTTGCTCATTCAAATTCTCTTGCTGTTTATTAGGTGTGTCTGATTCCAGTTTCTGCCCATGGCACCAATCCTGCTAGTGCGCAGATGGCAGGATTCACAGTCAAGGTTATTAAAGTTGACAGTGGTGGAAATATTGACCTGGATGACCTGAAGAAACAGGTATATTTTGTTATTCCTATTATTTATTTGAGCAATCATAATCATAATGTTGAATAGATGATGCCGATGAATGATGCTGATGATGATAATGATGAAACCTTTATAATGATGATGGTAATGATGATGATGAAACCCTTATATAATGATAATGCTGATGATGAAGATGATAAATAAGCAGGATAGTAACTGGATGTCATAGGAAATGGACTTGCAGTTGGGAAGGTAAACTGTTTTACCATGATTATGCCACCTGAAATTTATAATTCTGTACATTATTATTCATAATAGTTTATTTTATCAACCATAAATTTAATAGATATGATCCGAGCTTTCGGCCTACTTGGTCATCCTCAGGGAAATGAAAAACATTACAATTGACAAAGAGAAACGCAATCAAACCATGGCATGGCTGAGTAGCCCGAAAGCTCGGATCATATTTATTAAATTCATGGTTGATAAAACAAACTATTATGAATGTAACAACAACCAACAAGGAACTATTTGATCTTACATTATTATTATTGACTTAACTTAATTCTTATCTTCAGGCAGAGAAGTACAGTGCAGAGCTTGCAGCCATTATGGTTACCTATCCATCTACAAATGGTATATTTGAAGCTGGAATAAGGTATTTTCTCAAACATTCTAATAAGGATAAAAATACAAACAAAGACTTCTGGCCACCATGTTGGTTGACATGACCAAAAGATACCAAGACCAAATCTTTTGTTAAAGTATAACCAAAATGGTAGCTTTGATATCACACATTGCAACTCAAGAATCAGTTTCTTGTCAGATGTGCCAGTTTGGAAGGGTATTCCAGAACAGTGCCGCAGATGTACTGCTGACCCACTGTCTGCCATCTTTTGACCATTAGCTAGCCATTAGATGTAATGACAACAGTTATAGCCATCTTTTTAACATCACAACGGTAGGCTAGTGACTATGTATAATGTCCCTGAGCTGATGACAAGATGTTGGTAAGGCACAATTACACAGTGGAATTTTCTCATCAAATTGTCTCAAGCTGCATTGCAATATCCACCACATTGTTGGGAGACAAGTTGCAAAGAAAAATTCCTCAGTGTAATTGCTCCTTTAATGGCATTGTTCTTTATGTACATGTACAGTCACCCAATGGCTGGGTGATGGTGGACTGTTGATGGATTAACAGGTGAATGTCGACCAACCATGGCTGATGGTCAGTCAACAGGGCATCTGGGGCACGGTTGTTTCTAACCAATAAGTGGAGACAACTTTGGCCAACAATTTTTTGTTGATAATTTGCAGAGAGATTTGTGACTTGGTGCATTACCATGGAGGACAAGTGTATCTGGATGGAGCTAATCTTAATGCTCAGGTGAGAATAACTGTAGTGGCACTAGATATATTTAAACAATATATGTATCAATCAGCTCTAGTTTGTCATATAATTAATTTTTCATTGCTATTATCTTAATATTTTGAGAGACAAATTAATATAAATCTTTATTCTATGTAGTATTTGTTTAACTTCCTTTCCTAATATTATATAGTTTCTATTTATTTACTTCAATTATATTATTTATATCCTAATTTTTTAAATGATTATTTTTCTGGTTTTGTTCTTCCTTACAACAGCATTTCTATTTTCTATGTAATTATATATCGCTAAGTATTTTTTTCTGATCAATTGATGAAGACTAACTAGAAAACTTCTCAGTTTATTTAATAGGCTCTAGGCATTATATAAAAGTATATTTAATTATACACCATTGTGCAAAATAAAGTTGAATTGAGTTGATCATGACTTGATATTTTGTTGTCTTTCTGTAGGTGGGTTTGTGCCGACCAGCAGACTATGGTGCTGATGTAATGCACAGTAACTTGCACAAAACATTCTGCATCCCACATGGAGGAGGAGGGCCTGGCATGGGACCTATTGGAGTGTAAGCCTCTGTTCATGCATAGGGGGACAAAATTGAGGATTCGTGTTACAGTGTGAGGCGCCTAATCTTGGCCACCAAACTCTTACTCTTTTTACCAATGCCGTTGAATCCTTCCCTGCCAAGAAATAATTTTGAATATTTGTCATGGTTGTATGCTGAGTGAGTTCACTGCAAATGCACAAATTCTTGCTGCCTGAGTGGCTAACTACTAGTAAAATAATAAGTTGGGTGGCCATGGTGGGGCGAGTCACACTAAATACTTGAGTGTCCATAGGGGTGTTCATTAACCAAAAAAAAAAAAAAAAGAAATAGGATTAGCAGTGGCATTTCCAGAGAGTGGCTTGATCTTCAACCACTGAATTCCAATTGAGATTGGAATTTAGAGTTGGACATGGAATTTAAGAGGTGGATTTTTGTAGAGGAAGGAAAACCAGAAGACCCTTGAAGCAGAGGAGAGAACCAACTAGTAACTCTACTCATACAACACTGAGCCCGGCCGGCCTGACGAACCTGGGTTTAACAGACTCAATGTGACCATAGTTGAACATGTTCACCAGATTTAAAATTAGTTTTTATGGCTAAAAAGTATTGTCTCAATATTTCACACAAATTTATTTTGTATTTTCAGCCGAAAGCATCTTGTTCCTTTCCTTCCATCACATCCCGTCATCGCACCATCCAGTACAGTGGGACAGGGTGCCAAACCCTTTGGAGTCATCTCGGCTGCACCTTATGGCTCTAGTGCGATCTTGACGATTGCTTGGGCTTATATCAAATTGATGGGTGCCAAGGGACTGAAACAAGCTTCTGAGGTGAGATATGTTTGCATTGAAGTGCAAGGGTTGCTCTGCTGCCAGCAGAAGAAGGGGTCTGTAGATTAAGGTGGAACAAGTGATCAAAAACACAGGCATAAATTTATTATAAAGGCTTTGTACCATTATGTAATGGCAGCCATGACAAGAGGCACAACAATCAAGTCGTTTTTTCTCTGGGAAACTGAATCGTTTCTCATGTAAACCAGCTTAAAAATCAACCCCCGAATTGCCCTATTTCACTATGATGTCACTGTTGTTTATGTGGGGGATAGAATCGCCAAATCCAATAGAAAATTCAACACAATTTGCTCCTAGCGAAACAGTTTAATCTAAAATGGCCTGGTTTTCAGATATGATATGTGTTAATATGTACTGAAAAATATTCTGAGCATTTGCTGGCTATTCTACTTCTCTTCGTGGATTGATATGGGTTTTAGAACAATTTTTGGTGAATTTGCATTGATTTGACCCCCTCCGATGACCATGATCCTTTGCGTTTAAACAATAGATTGTTTTGATGTGACGTCATAGTGAAATAGGGCAATCTCAATTTGATCATGAAACGAGGGCTACAAGTTTGCTGGACTGTGAAAGAGACTATTCTAAAAACATAATCTTCTTAGGTTGCTATATTAAATGCAAACTACATGGCCTCAAGGCTCAAAGATCATTATGACGTACTGTTTGTTGGTGATGGTAAGTGTTTGGCAAGAATTAAATATTTTTCTACAGTTGGCTCAACATATTCAAACTTGGAGCAAAATACCACTTATTGTAGGCTCTTGAACCAGCAAAATAATTATAACGTACAAAAATTAATAATAGCCATCTATACATTGTGGAGCTGATAATAGAATGTGGGGGAGGGGTAAAGGATGTTCACTGTCACCACGTCTAGCGACCCTGATAATACTATATGGCTTGTTTTTTTGTATTTACTAAATAATTAATATACTTGAATATCACTCACTCCTACAGGTTACTGTGCACATGAGTTCATTATTGATGCCAAAGATTTTAAAAAGACAGCAGGAATTGAAGCCATGGACATTGCAAAGAGACTTCAGGACTATGGTGAGATTCAGTGAATTATGAGTGTTGGGCTACCTGTGTGGCAACCTCTGGGCTGACCAAAGTTAGGACCCATCTAAGGGGCTGTTTATATGGAGCGAGCCAGCCCGGTAAGCGGGCTAGCCCGCTTGGCCGAGATGAATTTTGGATTGCGTTTATATGGGAAAGTTCAGCCCGCTTACCCGGATGCAATCAGTCGTGTGATCATCCAGCCTCGTTAGCATACGAACTCGTCCCGCGAAAATAAAAAAAAAACATGGCGGCATGTGCAGTAGGATCAAATCCAGCCCGCTTACCGGGCTGGCTCGTTTATATGGGTATTTTTCCATCCTGCTTGCCGAGATCTCAGCACCGCCCAACCGAGATCTCGGTAAGCTGGCCAGCCCATCTCCCCATATAAACACAAAGCATTTTTTTACAACGAAAAGAGGCCGAGCCGAGATCTCGGCAAAGCGGGCTAGCCCGCTTACCGGGGTGGCTCGCCTCCATATAAACAGCCCATAATTCATAGACCGAATAGGAATTTGGCTCATTAGGCTTTGCAGATGAAGGAAAACCAGAGACCCAGGGTAAGAAAAGCAAATCAAGGGAGAACCCTAACAAACTCAACACATGTGATACTGAGTCCAGGAATCAGACCCAATTCCCCAGGGGGGAGGGGGGAGTAGGGAGGGGCCTCATACTGCTAYAAATGTTACCCATGATTTCCTATGGGCTTCTTGGTATTGCTGTAACAATAAATAAGCAGGTTTGGATTTGATTACAATGAAGGGGATTTTCTTTCCAGGCTTCCATGCTCCTACTGTCGCCTGGCCTGTATCAACTGCTTTGATGATTGAGCCAACAGAGAGTGAAAGCAAAGCTGAGCTGGACCGACTTTGTGATTCCCTAATATGTAAGCTTATTCTGTGATCCTACCCCCTTATCGAATGTCCCCCCATTTCACACCCTGTCAGGTTTCAGGGCATACATTTTCATCTTCTCCCCACAACCAGCACTTCCCAGGATTTCTACCTTTTTTTCACGATAACAATGAGGTTTTTTGAAACCCCATGATTTCTGTTTTTGTTTTTTTGTTTCTTACATGATCGTCCAGCTTAACCCTACATGCGCCTAGTATTTCCTATAATAGAGCAAAGCACCAGAAATCTGCTCATTCTTTATGTTTCAACATAAATTTATTGCATGAATGAGATTCTATGCATTGAGATCCACTGGACATAATATAAATTCGTTTCATTTTCTTTCTTTCTTCGCAATTGCAGCTATAAGAAATGAAATCAGAGACATCCAAGATGGAGTTATGGACTCGAAAAATAATCCCCTCAAGGTATGCATTTGACTAATTTTTTACTTTGCGTTTAATTTTGGGAAGGGGGGGAGGGTGCCAAAGTTGGAATTTTGATGTGGTTTCATTAATGTTAATTTATGGGGAATGCAGGCCTGACATCAAAAGTGGTATTTAGGTTTGAGTGAATCCCCTCCCCCCCTTGACTCCCTCTCTTCAATGATAAATGGCAAATACGAACCCTTTTCCCAAATTACTGGTGACAAGCCTGGAATAATACCCCACCACTGTATCTTTGGAGATCCAGGGAATAGTCTCCTTGTTGTATTTTCTACTTTCAGATCCCCATAATGCCTTGCGTCTTTGGGGGGCAACCAATCAAACAACTGTCCCAAATTGAAAGGTTTCTTAATTGAATTTATACTATACCTGCTTTTATCTGTACAATACTGATTATCGCTTTATTTCAAGTTATTTTTGCGTGTACAGATTATCAAGAGTTTTGGATTTACAGAAAACGTATTGACTCACAAAAATGTTTAAAATTTACCTTAAACGTCTTCAAGCTTCTATCTTTTTCTGTTTTTTACTTCGTCGTTTTATTTTTGGATACCAAACAAGGTATTDTCAACATTGTCTGATCAGCCTTCAGCAAAATAAGTGGGTTTTTACCCTCTGGTTACCCCCCAAAGACGCAAAGTACAGTATTATGGGGATGTGAAAGTAGAGAATTGTATACAAAATGAAGGTTGTTTTAATATTCTAGAATTCCCCTCATCCACAAGATGTTGTCATGTCAGATAAATGGAGTTATCCATACAGCCGTGAAATTGCAGCATACCCTGCAGTAAGTAAATAAATAAATAAATAAAAAAGCTGCTAAATCGATCAAAGTGTTTGAATGACATTGAGGGCTGCAGAAATTGTATTGATTGTATTTTGATTTGATTTCCTTCCAGCCCTGGTTGAAAGGCACAACAAAGTTCTGGCCAGGCTGTGCAAGGGTAGACGACAAACACGGAGACCAAAATCTCGTCTGCACATGTCCACCATTGGAAAGCTATGACTATGAGAAGACAAAGGCATTCACATAAAGATTGTTAATATGATATATTATCCACCTCCAGCAACAAATTAAAACACTCACAGGTTAATATGCTTTTGACCAGGAATTTTTGGACCACATAACATATGAATAAGTCTTGCCGTCACCTTTGTCGCCTACACAATTTTGCAGTGAAAGAAAGAAAAAAGAAATGAGCATTTGAAAAATTCTAGAATGCTTATCTCAGACTTCAGTGTTTTTTAATGGAAGATCCATGAACGAGCAACATGTTACTTGCTAGATCTAGTTCAGGAATGAAGAAATTAGCTCAAAGAATTGTAAATACCGAAGGCAGATCATTGTTTCCAAGCCCGGTTGAGTAATGTGCTTTTGTCGCACACCGTTGGATGGTGTTGGACATACGCAGACTGCAGACTGAAGACTAGATGTATTTAATAATTATTATCGTTTTAAATTTGTATTACATTTGCAATGTATTTTTTTCCTTACAAACCCATTACAAATTATATAATAAAAGTATATAAAGCACCGATCAGTTTGTTTGATTGAACACTGTCGCCACTGTCTCAATCAGCGCGTAGCAATGAAAATAGTCGTGAGTATACACCTCTGTAATACATGTTACGGTAACGATCACCCCATGTAAGGGAATTTGGAATCCGGAATCCAAAATTTTAGGCTTTGGAATCCGGAATCCAGGCCTTGGAATCCAGGCCTTGGAATCCAGGCCTTGGAATCCGGAATCCAGTTTATGATGGAATCCGGAATCCACCCTTTTGGAATCCGGGCTCTACTACTATGAAATTCAAAGTATACACTCAAATGCTATCGCCTCGACCTAGACTGAACCGATGTAGCCCCTCCCCCTCTGTGTAATATTTCCACCAAGAATATCTGTCATCAGATGCTGATTTAATTGATAGACGATTCTACTTATACTGGCAAGTATATCAAATATAATTTTCAGAGAAAGTATCTGAAAATTAACGATATGGAATCCGGAATCCGAAACACAAAAGTTTTGGAATCCGGAATCCAGACCCTTGGAATCCGGAATTCAACATAAGTCCGGATTCCCTAACTGGGGCGATAACGATAATTATCAGTCAATCGGTACTTTTTATATTTTGGGGAATAAAAGAACATCATAACGGGGACATTACAACGGAGACTTGTCGAAGCTTGACATTAGTAAAGAAATTTTACCTTCAAGGACCGGGCATGTGCCAATGCTATTGCTATGTCAACATCCTCGTGGACTCGAGGTGCACAAATGGCCATTCACGAGGGCTTGACCTCGACTCCTCGTCGGAAGATACTGCCAAAGCATAGCTTTTCTTCAATAAATCCATTTAACAATATAAAAAAATACGCGATTAACTGGGTCCAAAGGTATTTTTGGTGTCTGATGTATAGAAGCTTAGCGTTGTCACTAATCAAACAACACAAACCAAGCCCATTACCTGAATCAAGTATTGAATCCACAAGCCATTTTGCCAAGGCGAAGTATAGAAAATAAGCACCAAGACTATGAACATGTATACTATATAAAGGTGTATACTTGAGGAAAAGGAAAGAGAGAGTATATTGCTTTTCAATGATAATTACGGTCAATTACAATGAATATTATCTGTCTTTTTTACTATAAAAGTAAATGACTCAAAAAAAAAAAAAATCAAACCGCCACAAACCAGACCCATTACCTGAATCCAAGCACCGGAAGTCACCATACAATTAAAATGAACTGTTAGCATGTGTATAGACGTGTATATAAGAAAAATAGAAAAGAATAAGAAAAGAAAAGACATTGTACATTGTTTTTATCTAGTCTGCAGTCTGCGTTTGTCCGACTATCAGTACTCTAGACCACTAGTATCTCAGCCAATCAGAATGCAGGAATTGTGATAGACAATAGTAGATTTAGACTAAATACCTTTTGACATGACATATAAATGATTTTGTTGTTTTATATATTTACTTTTTTGCAGCGATTTCTCAGTTATTAATTATATATTAAGCTATCAATTATGATAACATTAGCTTATAAAATCTTTGTGAACATTAAATTGATAATTGACAAACGGACTATCATGTTGCCAATTTGTTTTTTTAAATTGGGCCTCATTTTTTTGAAGGGCGCGGATCTTTCTGTTTCTTTTTTTTTTATATTAAATCTACTCAGGATTATATCAAAGATTCCAATTATTATTTTTGAAAATTCATGTACTTTCTTTTCTTGATGCGCTGTCGACGGCTCGCGCTAGCCAGACAAAATTTCCACTACCCCTCTTCCCTAGGGAAGTATTTACCTCATACATCAAGTGAAGCCGTTTGAGAAAGACGAGCAAGAAATATGAAAATTCTCCGACACATTTTACACATTTATATTGGTTTTTCCTTATCAAAATGAGGATTTCAAACCAGGTAAGAGTCTAAAGGAAAGAAGTTCGTTGAAAAAAAACAAGTTCCAAGTGTTTATTTTTGTGTTTTCTTCAGCTGTTGCGGTCCCGTGCAGCAAGGCCTTTGTACAGCACCGAGCTCATTGACCTCTCACATCTTGAACTTGGTAAGATTTTCTTCACCATTTCTCAACAATTTGCCTCTAGAAAAGACCTGTATTTATTCCTTTACATCTTATACTTCCCTTCTACAGTTTCAGTGGACAGACTAGAGCTGTGTCCTAAGCTACAGACGTTAATATTGAGGCAAAACAGGATCGAAGCTGTCCCGAACTTGGATTGTTGTCCTCAATTATGGAAAATTGATCTGGCTAATAATAAGGTTTTTGTTGATTATTTCTCATATTAACTCGTTAAAAACCTATTCTATACTTTGTTTTATTATTATCGTTTATTGATATGATTTTAATTATTTTAAGATTAAGAGCATAGTCTTTCAAAATACTCGGTTTTCGTGAGAATTTTTTAAATCAAAAGTCTTCTTGTCAGACAACCATTTCTGTTTACACAAGCTACATTACCCTGGAAATCAAAATTTTTACTAAACTATGAAGGAATTTGCTTTCATTTTTGAATAAAAAAAGGCTGGTATAAACCTATTTTGACTTTATGAGGGTTTGGTTTAATTATTTAGCTCAGTAGCGTTAAAGTTATCAAGTCTTCTTCGTACAAAGTGAAGGGTTTATTACGGAGTCAATCCTTTTGTTTTATTTGTTGTAAAGCAAATGAATTGATGTTTTCACAGTAAGAGTCTAAATGAACCAAAACAATAAAAAATCTCTTATGTTGTCCCTTATTTTTGGTTTTATTTCTTAGTAGAGGTCGGGTTTATATTTCGCGCCGTAATTTGAAACTCCGGTTCATTTTTCGTTTTATTTTCAAAAATTGCGTGACGAACAGCCGAAGCCATTTTGCTTTATTTTTACTTTTTCCACAACGAAGATTTAATCCCAAAATTGAATTTTTTCTAATATGTAAATTTTTATTGTATTATTAAATTGTTGTATAGACATTTCCTAACAAAATTAACCATATGTTCATAATATGTTTTTCAATATGAAAAATATATAAGCTTATATCTTATTATACTGAAGTTTCGTTTTAAAGTTTTACTCGTTTTTGAGAACCAAACATTTCCAGAAGAACACATATCTTTGAGTTTTGGCTTCCTTCCATCAAATTTGAAATTTTACCAAAAACGCAGGGTTAAACTTTCCAGAGGCTGCAATCGAGGGGCTGACCTCTGTTACCAAGAGTACAAAAAATCCTGAAGTTGTGAAGGTCATACAAACTTAATTAAATGACCTCTAAAATAATAACTTGGGTGTAATGTTTTCCCGATTCAGACCACTTGTTGTTCTATCAAGAATTTTTTTTTGTGTGTTGTATCCATATGTTTTCAGCAACCATTGTAAACAAAGAAATGATACTCTAGGGAATGATGTACGTTCAACTGATGTAGGAAAAACCTTATGTCCAAGATAAAGAGGTCTATTGCTTATAGTTCAATATTTTTGACAGCTTCGCAGCCTAGAGGGTCTCAGTAGATTTCCAGTATTTGGCACCCTTATTCTCTCTAACAATGAACTGGACTGGAACGAACTACTCAAGATACGTCATATACATATCCTTGATCTTACTCTCCACGGCAACCCTCTCCTCGAAATGGATTCATATTGTAAGTAAATTTTGACAATGATTTTTCCAAATGTAGTGTAATAAGCCTTTTCATAGTTTAAGAATCGATTCCACTGCGCATGCAATTTTATCCCAAATTTCTACTTTCTTTTGTCAAAATCTTCTTTTGTTCTTAATTATACAAAAGAAGGTGAGAAATTTGGGATAAAATCGCATGCACATTGGAATCGATTCTTAAGCTATGAAAAGGCTTATTGGGCTATCGGTGAGATTTCACACCCCTTTGGGACTGAGGGGGGAGGGGTTATGTGGGAGATTTTGATAATCAATAACAGATATTATGAATGCATGCAAATGAGATGCAAATGAGATGCAAATGAGACAAGCATTGTATCAACCCCGATAGCCTCGCTTGTATGATTCTTAAACAAAAGAATATCTCATTGCACGCTCTGTAATAACAGCTATTTATTGTTTAACAAAATTGCAGATAAACTTCATGCTGGTGTGTTGTATATTGGGCTACCTGTGTATTGCGCTACCCTTTGGGGATGGGTGGGGATTGCAAGTATCTTAAATCCATATACCGTAATCAAYTTAATTACCGGGTTTCACTTGACGTCATTTCCTGTCTTGTGTTGAAGTTCATCAGCTGAATCACAAGTTTTCAATTAGTCCTTCTTCGTTGACAGCTTTTYGTGGTCAGTGTTTGATCACCATTTGGATCAAATAATGAGATGCAGACTTCTATCAGCTGATTGAAACCCAGCAATATTATAATTTTCATTTAACCTATTTGCAGACAGACTTCATGTTATTGACAGTCTTCCCAACATCTGGATGCTTGATGGCCGTATCATAACAAGTAAGGAAATCTATAAGTATTTTGGAAATATTATGAGTATAGGGAACACTTGAAATGATTGATATCTTTATATTTCATTTGTAGCTGCAGAGAGAGCTCAAGTTAGCCAGTTTTTCAAAGACACTGCTCTGTGTGACAGACCTGTGGTATGCCTATATTATTTATTATCATTAATTTATTAGTTTTCACTCTTACAAATAAGCTGATCTCTATAACAAATACAGCTAAGGAGAATCCTAAGACTTTTTTACTGTTTGATTTGTCTGGAAATAGCTCAGCAAATCAAATTAATATGAGTTTCGGATTTGTTTTTAGAGCAAACAAAATTCTCATATTAGGTCAATCAGACTGCAGCCCGTCAAATTACACCCTGGTACCCCACCCCTGTACCCCACCCCTGTACCTCATCCCTGTACCCCACCCCTGTACCCCACCCCTGATACAGATATACCTAAACATTATTTTATTATTAATTATATGATTGTCTTACAGAGGCACAAGCTTCCCAGAAATCAATTTATTCCATCTTCACTAAAAAATATAAAAGTTACAGGAATACATGGAACCATGGTAGGTTCATGATATTAAATATATATTCATAAAAATTAACTTTCAAAATGAATAGACTATTTACAATAATTATTGCAGTTGGAATAGATGTTATTATTATAGTTATTATCAAATTAGGGTTATGCTGTAGTGAATGGAAAAATCAAAACACCAGATGATTCCTATATATATATAATTATAGGAATATCCTAAAATGGGAATAGGAAAAAAAGAATGGAAATGGGAAAAAGAATGGGAATAGGAAAAAATGATGTAAATATAGATAAGAATTGAATGGGCCGGATTGGTTTCCCTAGGAATACCATATAGTGAAAAACTAGCTGACTTTCACTTGCCCAATCACAGATTTGATTGGCAGGTGCCAAAACACCAAATGTCTGGACTAGGTAACAGAAACATGAAAAAGTGACTGTATTTTGATGCTTTTATCATTACAGACAGATCATTATATGAGACACTTTCCTCACAGATCTACCTTAAACATAGGCAAGTATCATAACATTAAAGTTTAAAGAATATTTACCACAGTGTCAGTATGAAATGGCTTCTAATTAGTTGTTTTTCACACATTTCACTTTTAGATCTGGATAGGAGAAGATTACATTACCTTGCATATAATCTACAACGAGATGTCAATTTGGATTTAAAGTATACAACAAGGTAAGAACATCATGTCTTATGTATGTAGTATTTATTATAACATATATGTACATTGTCAGTAGAAGGATGCTAGATTATAGCTAGCCAAGCCTGTGTAATAAGTTGTCAAATAAGGGTGTTGCACCACATACAGTCTTGGTAGGTGGTCAGTATGGTGTTGGTGGTTTGTTAAAAGGGTGTTGGTAGGTGATCAGTAGAGTAGGTTGTCAGTAAGGTGTTGGTAGGTTGTCAGTAGGGTGTTGGTAAGGTGTTGGTAGGTTGTCAGTAGGGTGTTGGTTGGTGGTCGGTACCTTAGGTGTTGGTGGGTGTTCAGTAGGTTGTCAGTAGGGTGTTGGTAGGTTGTCAGTAGGGTGTTGGTAGGTTGTCAGTAGGGTGTTGGTAGGTTGTCAGTAGGGTGTTGGTAGGTTATCAGTATGGTGTTGGTAAGGTGTTGGTAGGTTGTCAGTAGGGTGTTGGTAGGTTGTCAGTAGGGTGTTGGTTGGTGGTCGGAACCATAGGTGTTGGTGGGTATTCAGGAGGGTGTTGCAGGTAGGTTTTCAGTTGGGTGTTATCACTTAAGCATCATTATTATTTATTTTATATGATTTCTAATAAAATTCTTTAATTAATTTAGAGAAAAGGTCAAGCCCACCAGTGTCATAGAAAATCTTATTTCATGCAGAAAAAATGACCAGGAAAGATGCAACATGCTTCTGTTGCTCCTAGTGGTAAGCAGCCCCTTAAGGCTACAATATGTAGCTCAGTGTTATTGTAATGATTATATAATGTAACCTTCTTTTTGGAATTATTTTTTAGGGATCTCTAGAATTTTCTATTCCATTGTCACTGGTGCAACAAACCCTTGAAATAACAAGGCTGAAAAATATAGAGTAAGTATATTAAGATCTTAATATTTTTCCTAGTTTTATCACTTACTAGATAGTTGACTGTCTATTGTCCAATCTAACAAGGGCGGATCCAGGGGGGGCAAAGGGGGGCTGAAGCCCCCCCTTCAGCAGAAAAAAACGATGCTTTTTTATATTGTTTTCCGTTGTGTTGATGGAAGAAACTCAATTAGCCCCCCCTAAACTCACTTAGCCCCCCCCTAAAATTTTATTTTTTGTCTAATCATGACAGTTCTAAACACAATTGAAATTACATTGACAGCCAGAATTTTAAAATAATAATTGAACCTTAAGAACATTATTAATTGTAAATGAAATTAAATGAAAATTTTATATGCAATTTTTCTGTTGCTTTTTTTTACCTAAGTAGTATGCTTTTTAGTATTTGTTCTGTCTTTTTCCAGCAATGTGAATACAATGGATTTGTTCATGTTTTCAAGAGAGACTCGATGTAGAGTAGCATCATTGTTCCTTAGTGCTGTGAAAATAGAACGTGACCAGAACATTGTAGGTGCACTCAATGTCTATTCCTCAGTTCTCTTTTCTTTGGTCATTAATAAATATCGATAACAATTCATTGCTATTTTTATAGGAGGGTGGCTTGTACAACCGTCTCTATCTTTCTTTATATGATCTGGTGTCAGATCTTGTGAGACTTGCAAATGGAGATGATATTGCAAGGTAAAATGACTGTACAAGCCCAGGAAAATTATTTAAGAACTTGTGCCGTCACAGTGATGGCCTGAGAGTCCCTTTTCCCCCTCCCCCCTCCCCTCTTCAAGCCCCCTTGCCCATCCCCTGGTACCTGATCCATACTTGGTTTATCACACTGATAAACTAACTTTTGTTTAAGTTATTAATAAATGATTACCCTTCTTAAGATAACCTCTTCATTTTTGATTTGTATAAATGCCTATCTTTTATTTTTTTAAATTAGATATCAAGCTGTACGTAAGAGGTTTGACACAAGGTATTGTTTACTTTTTTCAAATTATGTAATTTTGAAATTAAAAATTCATTTTTCTATCTCAAATACCAACAACAACCTGAAAACTCACGGCTAATATGCACCTCTAAAATACCTTACCACTGTCATATCAACACCTGACAGACAAACAGCACAAATCTTCCCTCCCGATCCCCCCACCCCACACCCCACCCTACCCCACCACACTTTATCTACATCGGTTAGTATTAGTAACCCTGCAAAATGATTTGAAATACTTTGAATTGAACACCTTTCAGAAAAAGTGGATATCGATGTCTTCTGGCTTCAGAAATAGTTCAGCTTCTTTGTATCGTTCCTGTGTTCTTCGATTTTATTGGAAAGGATCCAGGTATAGTACTGCTAGGTCAGGGCCATAGTTACCAGTGTGGACGACCTTTTAATTTAAAAAATTCTTAATACTTTTTGAGAGCATAGATTCTCGAAAAAATACAACGAGAGATCGGACCACTTGGTCTATAAAACTAAACCACTGTCCAAATGGTAGCTACGGTCCTGTGGGCCAATCAAAGCAACAGAAAAAATAATTCGAAATGATTTATTATATAACTTTTTGGTTTATGAATTATTACTAGGTGTCATGGATCTTATCAGTGTTGCAACAAAGAATCCAGACATTGGTGAACAGATCAAGACCATCAGCTGGAAAGTCCAGGCAGAAGGGGTGAGGCACCAAATGTATTGAATAAATAAATATTGATAAATGGGATTCATAATAATGCGCTATAGAAGTACCCCATTATTATTATTATTATTATTATCATTATTATTATTATTATTGTTATTATTATTATTATTATCAATGCGATTAATCAAATATATTGAATATATAAATAATAATAATAATAAATGCGATTAATCAAATATATTGAATAAATAAATAATAATTATAATAAATGCGATTAATCAAATATATTGAATATATAAATAATAATAATAATAAATGCGATTCATCAAATATATTGAATAAATAAATAATAATAATAATAAATGCGATTAATCAA